TAAGCAGGGGGTCTCCTTGACCCAGAGTCGTGTAGCAAGGCAGATGAGTTGTTCAATCCCCTTCTCGCCCTCTGTTGCAGGGCCTGGTTTCTGTCCGTGCTCGGGAGGAAGGCCTTGATCCAGGAAAGTGGGTGGATTCCCGCAGAGGACAATGGAGCTGATCGCATGCTCAAAGACTCAAAGCCTTGCCTTAAGCTGCTATTTCCCAGCTTTCCAAGAGCCGGCAAAGAAACTCTCCGGCAGTTATTTCGCTATCAGTGCGGACCTGTCTGATCCATCTTATCTGGGAAGGTGTTCGCTGGCTGCCCGGGCAGGGGGACGGCGTGTAAAAGCCCTTGGGGAAGGTAAAAGTGAGGCAGCTCACGAGGCTTCTGATTGATGACTGCCACTTTCGACTGAAAATGAGAGCGCAGAAATGCTGTGGTGCCTTTCATTGTGAAGATACCCCAGTGGTGTATCCATAAACATGGAGTTAAGCAGCAAAGTGCCACTAATGGTGAGGAGCGAAGAGACATTTACTGGTGGTCTGGCTGGAAACGGCATTCACGCTTCCATTCCTCCCCCCTCGACCTCCTGGCCCAGCTGGGAGATTTCCCGTTTCACAGACACGGGGTGGAACTGCGCACCTGGGCGGAGTGGGGCCAGTGAGGTGAAGCAGGCGCGTGCCGGGTGCCGGCAGGATTTGACCCGAAGCACTGGGGACACCTTGAAGCAAGGTGCTGATTTCTTCCATTGGAACAATTCGCCTGGTTCCGTGGTGAACCGGCCCTGCTGGCGTGTTTAAAACCACAGGATGAGCTTGTCTCTCAAAAGCAGTTGCTCTCAACTAAAACTCAGGCGGGGGGTGTATGGACTGGGCAGCACGGAATGCCAGCGCCTGTCAACACGATACCCCTGGCCTGGAAATGTCGCAGTACAGCCTCACGCGCATTTTCCTAAGTGCAAATTAATAATTTCAATTAATAACCGCACACTTCCATAACCATCAGAATTAAATTTTCTGCCTGGTCCGTATGCCGGCATGAGCCGCGCGGGAGCAGCCTGCGACTGAGCTTTACTTCGCTGGGTCCTGCTCGCGTGACGGTTGGGAACTGAGGAAGGACGGTCGCAGAGCGCGGCAGGAGGGAGAAGCCAACGCCGTGAAACGATCTCCCAGGCAGCAAACCGGATTCTTGGGGAAAGCTGAGTGACAGGATCCAAGAAGAAGAGGAGTTTCAGCTGAGGTACGTGCTCGTAACACCTCATCCGAGCGCTCACCGGGAGATTCGGCGGTCCCACCTCCGCGGATGCCGGTTTGGCTGCAGCGTGGGGCAGCCGTCCCCTGGAGCCCCCAGCCCCGCGGGTGCCTCTGCCAGGCCATTCTCATGCAGAGCGCGTCTGATCCGCTCGTCAGAGCTGGGGACAGGCGGAGGGCGGCAGTTCCCCGGTGCAGATATGCAGCTTGTTCACCACAAATACTGGGGTGAAAGCAGCAGCAGAAAGCAATGGGGGGGGGACACAGGGGGAAACGGAGTGTTAGAAATGGTGCGCTCCCAAACGAGCCAGAGGGTCTGTGCACCCTACTGCAGATGTGTTTTTCGGCCTCATTTCGCCTGCCAGACGTGAAAAGCTTCCTCAGACTTGGAGAGCGTTAGTGGGGAAGGGTCCTGATCAGATATTCCCAAGAGATCAAACCCGGGGTGTCATCATCCTGTCCTCTGATGCCACTTTCTGTCCGAAGCTCTCAAAGCCCTTTGCAGTCGCTCCGAGGTCCCCCTTGGAGCACCTTCCTGAGGCGGGCGAGTGTCGCCTGCCCTTGCTGGCCTGGGAAAGCCCTGGAAAGGGTAAGAGCGTGTGAGCGAGCCGGGGGTAAAACCCAGGCGTCTCTCCCCCTGCCTGGCCCCGAGCCCGC